GGCCCCGCAGTGCAGCAGCTCTGCCCAGACCCGTGTCCCCAGGCTCTGTGGATGACGATTTCCCCAACTCCATGATGCTGAGCGATGCCTTTGAAACAGGCTTTGCCAGCGAGCGACAGAGCAGCTTCCTCTGACAGGACTGCTCAGCAGCGATGCTTGTCCAGGAAGCCAACCAGGTACGCTCACCACTCGCTGGCCAACACGGCTCTTGCTCACAAACACAGAAAACAACACATCCCAACTCCATGATGCTGAGCGATGCCTTTGAAACAGGCTTTGCCAGCGAGCAACAGAGCAGCTTCCTCTGACAGGACTGCTCAGCAGCGATGCTTGTCCAGGAAGCCAGCCAGGTACGCTCACCACTCGCTGGCCAACACGGCTCTTGCTCACAAACACAGAAAACAACACAAAAACCCCAGAAGGCTGCCACTGACCCTTCTGTGTGGTTAAAATCCCCAGTCCCGTGCTTGCACAGCCCATTCTGCCATTCCTCACACAGCAGTGTCCATATTGACCCAAAAGACTTAGGAAATGGCACAGAACCTTAGATGCAGCAACTTCTGTACATGACCCAGCAAGGGAGCCAGGAGTGGGGACCACAGCGGGAGCCTCTGGCCCCCTAGGCCACATGTGCCCTGGAATGACAATCCAGACCCCTGACTGGCCTCGCTCTCTATGAACACCTATAGGCAATGGTCAGCCCCAGGGCCAGCCGCATAACTGTCAGGGCGACCGCAAAGTAGAAATGCCACTCCCTCTGTTCCAAAAGTGTTAAGACTTTCAAGATGGTGAGAGCAGGGCATATGTCCAGCAGGGGACCCTGAGTGACTATGCAGCTTGTTGCCCAGGAAAGCTGTCTGCTCAGCTCTATGCCAGTCCAGCATGAACACCTCAGGACAGGGTCGCCTGTGCTCTGTGCTTAGCCAGCCGCAGGCCACGTCCTGCACACTGTCATCTCTCCAGGCCCCTCTCCTGACTTTGGGCTCCCTGTAGTCTCTGCTTGCTCCTGGGCATGGCACTCAATTGTAGTCTTCTTGGGTCCCTCTGCACAGGTCCGTCCATATTCTCCTCCTCTGTTCTTGCAGAGCATCTGCTGGCTGACTCGGGGATGACTTGTTCAGAGGGTCCCGGAGACCCTCACCTCCAAATCCCAGCCTCTGAGATGTCATATCCATCAACCCTCACATGGAGGGTCCCATCCTCTTTACCGCAAAGGGACTTTGATTCTGAGGGTTCCTAATGGGTGTCTTACTGCAATCGAACATGGGCTTGTTTGTGGAGTGACTTTAGAACACACTGTTTAGGACAGAGACTCTACAGTTGCTTGTGTTGAGAAAGGATTGCACAGGCTAAACTGGACATGCTCAGGTAAGAGACAAAGCCAGTGCCACCTTTGGTGATGGAAAAACACTGCCGGGGATTGTTTAAAAGCAAACCAGAAACATACAGAAAAAACTGCTTGAAGACAAACACTTTAATAATTTTGAGTGTCTCACAATTAGTAGAATGAATAGAAACATAAATTGCAGCATTATAATAAAAGGGAAAGATGGAAACCTCCAAGAGAGCTTCTGATAGTTCTAGGGCAATTCCACTCCTTATGATACCACTGAGAGTAGCAGCCTCATGATTTGACATGTCTTTGTTTTCACAGTAATTATGAAACGGTAAGTCGATTGCATTATGGAACTCACAGGAAGAAGCTTAGATTTCCTCTTAAATGTAAATATATGATGTATGATAACGTTATAGAATTTTCAGAAAGTAAAGAAAAAAAGAAATGAGAACAGCACTAGTATTCGAATACGGCCTCTGGTGAGCTTTCGTCGTGTGTCATTTCTTCACCGTCTACGTGTTTGTTTTCAGTGTTTAAATAAGGTAATAATCTGGTAAGAGCACATTTTATATCTTGCTTTTTTTGATATTAGTATATGCAATTATATGTGTATGTTAAATGTTTTGCATAATAGTGGAAACATTTAAAGTTATAATTTTTCCTCTGAACAAGGTTTAAGTATGGTTCACAAGGTTTTGTAATGAAATTTACTGATTTTTATTTATTTCTCAATAATTTGCTGTCTCAGGTTTTAGTCCTGTTTGGCACAAGAGGCCTTTGGAGGAGGCCTCTCCCTCATCCCAAGTGGACGGATTTCTAGATTTATTACACTGTGATAAAATGAGGCAGCCTGTAATCTTTACACTTCTGGACAATTTTTACGGTGTCCACTGTGGTTAAGTTTTGGGTGCAAGTGAGATGAACTGTAGCACCCACGAAACACACAGTTTTCTACATATTAACCTCTGCTGAATCAAGCATTTTCATTGTCACTCAAACTTGTTTATATGTGTGTGTGCGTGGGGGGGTGTAGTTGTAGCCGTGATTAATTTTAAACAATTGTAAAAAGTCCAGAGGTGTGTTACAGTTTTCCAGTATGATGCAGCTTATCAGCCTTTGCCTGGGCTTTGGTGGTAAGACGTTTCACCTTTTATATTTTGCTACCATGTTCCCAAATGCATGAAGGTTCACAAGGATTAAATTGTGTTCACAGATCATGTATTTATTAACATAAGAGATCCCTTTCCAACTTATTTAGAATGTTTTGCCCTAAATTCTACCTTATCTAATATTAATATAATTTGTGTTGCATTTTTTGATATATCTTTGCCCAAATTTTTATTTTCAAAATTATTTATTTTACTTTTTTTTACAGTAAAGCTCATTGTTTATAATGCCCCCTCCCTGGCAATTTGGAAATTCTACTCTGTGATACTCTCCATGTGTTATCTTGACATTTCTTAAGAAACACGTACACCCATATTTTTTTCTCAGTGTTAAAATTGTACAGCAGCACCTCCCTCCTTCTACAGCCTTCAGAACTCTCATGCATGGATTTTCCCCCTTTTCTTCCTAGTTTGCATAAAAGTAAACTGGAATTTCATTACAAGTACTTTATATTGTAGTATTTTAATCTATTTAAACTAGAGTGCTATCTTAATAATTTCATTATAGTTCATAACTACACTGTGAACATGTAGTTATAATTAACACATTATATAGTTTTAACCCTTACAACTTGGTCTCGTTACTACATTTTTCTATATAAAAAGACATATTCTTACTGATTCCATTTTTTATTCGGCTTAAGAATTTTATCAATCAATTTTTTCCCCTAAAGTTTACACAGGTTTCTGAAACCACATATCACAAAAGATACCTTTTTTTCTTTACTCATACATAATCACTAAAATAAATACAAGATTCCATTTTTCCTTAGATTTCAATTTCGCTATTAAAGGTCCAGATTCCAATAGGCTTGTGGGATGAAGTAGAAGTAGATTCTTTTGTACCATTGTGAGAAGATTATTCTTTTTCTGTTGAATTGCCCTAGTGGCTTTGTTGAAAATCAATTGAACGCACATGTGTGAGTCTATTTTTGGATGTTCTATTTTTTTTTCATTCATTTATATGTTTATGCTAATCCAGCACTATCTTGATTATTAGCAGATTTATAACAAATCTTTTAGTCTCCCAAATCTGTTCTTCTTATTTGAACATTACTTTTCCTTTTCTAGGTCTTTTGCACTTCCATGCTATTGTATATTTCAATAATAATAATAATAATAAAAATCCTGTTGGGATTTTGACTGGGTTGTGCTAAATATAATGCTGAATTGGGAGGAATTGAGATCTTAGCAATATTGAATCTTCTGATCCATAAGCATGGTGTATCTCTCCATTTATTTAGTTCTTTACTTTTTCCCAGCAATGTTTTGTATTTTTTCTGTTTATAGGTTTGGCACATATTTTGTGAAATTCATCTCTAGTTTTTCATATTTTTATTTATTTATTTTTAAATTTTTTTTGGTGTTTGGCCAATATGGAGTTCCATTCTATTTCAAGTTTACTAGGAGGTTTTTCTTTTTCTTTCTTTCTTTCTATTTTTTTTTTAAGTATTATGAATGGGTGTTAAATTTTGTCAGATGAGTTTCTTGAACTTATTGATACAATCATGTGATTTTTCTTTAGTGCATTGTATTATGAATTAATTGCCTTTTATTGAATTAATTATTGAATTATCCTTGCACAACTTGGTCATGGCGTATAATTATTCTATACATTGTTGGATTTGATTTGCTAATATTTTGTTGAGAATTTTGGCATCTCTGTTCATGAGAAATATTGGTCTGTAGTTTTCCTGTCCTGGAATGCTTTTGTCTGGTTTGGTATTAGGGTGATACTTAACTCAAGGAATGAGCTGTGAAGTGTTCCCTCTTATTCTGTCCTATGAAAGAGATTGTAGGCAATGGGCGTAATTCCTTTTTTAAATGTTTAGTAAAACTCACCAATGAATCCATCTGAGCCTGTTGGTTTCTGTTTTGAAAGCCTATTAATTAATGATTCAATTTATTTAATAGATTTAGGCCTCTTCAGATTGTCTGTTTCTTCTTGTGTGTGTTTTGACAAATTGTGTGTTTCCACAATTTGGTCTTTTTCATGTAGGTTATCAAATTTGGGGGCATAAAGTTGTTATACTGTTCCTTGGTTATTCTTACAACATCCATGGGATCTACAGTGATGTCCCCACTTTCATTTCTGATATTAGTAACTTGTGTCCTCTCTCTTTTTTCTTAGTTAACTTAAATAGAGGCTTATTGATTTTGTTGGTATTTTCAAAGAAACAACTTTTTATTTCATTGATTTTTTTCTATTGATTTCCTGTTTTCAATTTAATTGATTTCTGCTCTAATTCTTCTTTCTTTCTCTCCCCCCCCTTTTTTTGCTTATTTTTGATTTAGCTTTTTTGTTTGTTTTTCATTTTAGTTTTGAAGGAGGGAACTTATTTCAGAGCTTTCTTATTTTTTAATATGTGCATTCAATGCTGCAAATTTTCCTCTAAGCACCACTGTTGCTGCATCCAACAGATATTGACAAGTTATGTTTTTATTTTCATTAGGATGAAAATATTTTAAAATTTCTTTTGAGATTTCTTCTTTGACACATGTTTTATTTAGAAATGCGTTGTTTAATTTCCACATATTTTGAATTTTTTCCAGGTATCTTTTGTTACTGATATTTAGTTTGATTCCATTAAGACCTGAGAACAGAAATTACATAATTTCTATTTTCTAAAAT